TAGCTTACAGCCCTACAGAAGCAGAAGCAGAAACCAAGTAATGAATGGAGCAAACTGAGTCCAAAGCACCTAAAAGTGAAGGGCTTGCTAGGGAATGAGCATCACTGATTCAGCAGAAAGCACATAAGGGGGAAGAACAGGATGCCTCAGGGGTGCAGTTAGGGTAGGGCCATTTGAGCTCCAGGTCAGTGGTAAGCTGAGAGAGGTGGAGACGGTCTTGGTAAGTGAAAATGTATTTCCTGATTGAGCTTAGGAGGAAAGGACCCTGGGAAACCATCTCACTTCCATCTTACACATCTCTTGATGGCATGCAATTAGTGGATCACCTTCGCAAAGCAAGTGTGAAGGTGCGTTCACACCATGTCAGCTTTGCTCGAGAGGCTCCTGCAGGAAAGCTGAAGAAAGAAAAGTAAAGACAAAATCTCATCTTGTAACTGGCCATGTCCCCTTCCAGTGTCCTGAGTTCAGATAAAAGCACCTTTTCCCCTGGAAACTAGCGATATCCTAGAAGACTGCTGCTGAGTCTGGAACAAATAAAAAGACTCAGGGCCTACTCATCATCCAAGCACTATTGTCCATCTACAGAAATGGGACACGTCCTTGCGGGGCATAGCCTAGAACTAAGAAGATGCGAAGAGGTGTTAATGATGAAATGCCCACTCGCCTTTCCTGCCACACTAGACCATGGGAAACAACAGCACTCAAGGTCTCCCGCCCACTTATCCTGTTCATCTACTGCAGTTATTTCTACTTCTATCCAGCTGCCTCCCAAGAAAAATAAAGCAAGAAAAAGTGGCAGAGCAATAGCAGCACAAACACAGCTGTGCATTCACTGAGCCCAGCCCAGTTCTCAGTTCAAACACAATGAGATGTGACTCAGGGTCCAGAAGTTGTCCCTTGCCAGAGGCCCCAGAGGCCAGCTCCCTGTGGCTGGTTGGGGGGTGGCGGTGGTGGTGTTACATTTAGTTGTTTACTTGTTTAGCATGGTGTCCTCCACACAAGGGTACAACCTCAGCAGGAAACGGGAGGAGAAAGGCAGAGAGCAGTAGGAAGGATTAGGAAGGGTGACAGGCCTGCCACCCCTGCCCTTGCTCCAATACAGCAGCTCCCCTTTGACTTATTTGCCTCTCAAAATAAACAAACAAAAACAAAACACATTAAAGCCACTGGTCTTAGATATTATGACCCTAGGAGCTCTCTCATAAAATTATCCATGGAAAAATTGTAAGGAATCAATTGTCAGCCATTCCCACCATGAAAGGTGGTCCGTAAGGAGAGGGAAGTTGTGCAGAGGGAGAAGAAGGCGGAGGAAGAGAACACACAGGGCCAGTGGTATGGACCTCAGGGGAGGCTCCCGGCAGGCAAGGGACACAGCAGAGTGGACAACAATGGCAAACACTCCCGATTTATAAGTGAAAGAAACCAGACAAAGAAAAGCAAATTCACTTTTACAGGGAATTTTTAAAGAAAACAGTCAAAGTGAGAAACAAGAGAGTAGAAGCGGGGTTTCCAGAGGCTGGGGAGATGTTTGCCAAAGGGTTAAAAACTTTCACTTGTACAATGAATAGGCTCTGCGGGTCTAATGTACAGCAGATGACTATAATTAGCAATGCTGCAGGTATATTTGTGCTAAGAGAATAGATCTTGAGCACCGCATCCTTCAAAAGGAGCGAGAGACAGAGACAAGAGGAGAGAGGGGTAAAAGTGACAGGTGATGCGTGTGATAATTCACTTGACTGCGGTGATGATTTCACAATATGCACATATATCAAATCATGACACTGTACACTTCAAAAATACAGTATTTTATCTGACAACTATAGCTCAGTAACAAAGCTGAAACAAAACAAAAAACTTTCCCTGCTTTAACAGGTGACCCAGGCTAGCCGTGGTCACATTTAGTAACAGCCACCCACCACCCGGGAAGCCTCAGACACCTGTGTCAAGAGTTAGATGTTTAAGACTGAGATTCAAAGAGAAATTCTGTACATATATACTGACAGGACAGGAAAAAGAGCCCAGTGTATTGTGTTACATTAAAACAGTTTTAAATAAAGGAATATGCCCAATATAAAGTGCACATATAAAATATCCCAAAATGTAAAAATATCTCTAAGTAAAAGGAATGTGATTTTTAAAAATACATTTAAAAATTTTTATAATAGCCATATATTATGTGTGCCTCTTCTTTTAGGTTTAAAAATATGAATAAATGCATCAAACTGAAAAGTGCATAGCAAAATAAACAATTAAAAACACAAAGTGGCCAACTATGGATTGGTAGAAGACATTTATAAACCATATGCTGGACATCGCATGAGGTTAACATCCAAAATCCATAAGGAATTCACCCAACTCAAAGGCAAAATAAGAATAAACAAATAAACAGGAAAAAGTGGGCCAAGGACTTAAAGAGATATTTTTTCCAAAGGAGATATTAACTGGCCAACAGGTATATGAAAAGGTGCCCAACATTACTCATTATCAAGGAAATACAAGTCAATCCTGTGAGCTATCATCCCTCCACCTGTTAGGATGTTGAAAAGGCAAGATATGACAAGTGAGGACCAGGGAAGGGAGCAAAGGGAATACCGCACTGTTGATGGGAGTGTAAACTGGCACAATCATTACAGAAGCCACTGTGGAGATTCCTCAAAACATTTTTTTGAGACAGGGTCTCACTATGTAATCTACCACTGGGTATATTCCTAGAGGAAATGAAATTAGCACCTCGTTGAGATATGTATACTCTTGTGTTCATTAATGATGAAAGATTTTACTTGGGAAAAGTATTCTGCTAGTAACTACTAAGAGAAATTGATGTAAATAATTTGGAAATAAAGCTATTTCCAAATCCCTAAGGTACTGATCTGGTTAGGCAATTATTAGAAATTGCCAGTAACTGGAAAGCCAGGTTTTAGGTACCTCCTGATGGTACCTCCTGATAGCAGAATCTATGAAGAATCCATATCAAAAATCAAAAACAAAAACAAAGTACAGTGTATAGTGGCCTGTGCTAAATGGCACCACGAGCACGGTGGGGCTGTGGCAAGTATAGGAAGACTGGCTTAGTTCTCTACAAGAAACAGGCCACTATATGGAAGAGAACTTACAGATGAAGATAAAAAGATACATAATGGGCCTATCAGCCAACCAGAACGTATAGCCCTTATTTGGATATTTTGATTCAAACAAAGCAAAAGTAAAAAATAAAAAATGTTCAAGATAATCAATCAATCAATCAATCAATCATCAGTCAGACACAGTGCTGGAGCTGGGAGGGAAGCCCCTTGCCCAGGCCAGGCCGCCTTCTGAGCCCTTCTCCCTCCCAGGCACCTTTTGGGCCCCAGCACAGCCCTCCTGCACTCTACTGCCCCCATGTGGTCAAGCGAAGGTCTGACGGTGGAGTCCTAGGGACCTCCAGGGTCTCCTGATACTCTTCTTCCCCTTTTCTCTATCATTAACAAGATTAGTCCCACTTAAGAACATGGGGCTTCCCAGTAGCAAGTGCTAGGAAGGATCCTGGGAACTCCTATCTGCACACAATGCGAAAAAGCCAGTTATGGACTCTGCCTGGGGAGCAGGACCCAGAGAACCAGCAAAGCTTCCAGAAATTGTGGGGTACAGGAAGGAGGGTAAGGGCACAAAGGAGAGATGGAGGCCTTGGGGACTGACAGCCATGGGCAAGCAGTGAAGCCACAGCCCGACAGTGGTGTTGGAAAGCACTGGGAGTGTCTGCAAAGCACTCAAGGTGAACTGCGCTCTACCAGCCTGTGCCACATGTGCCAGGTTCCAGACCAACAGGGGAAACTCAGAGGGCTCCCAGGCTCACACTCCCTCACCTGGTAGCTTAACACTCCAAGTGCATTAGCTGCTGTTTAGGGAGCCAGTGGGATCCAGGAAATCACATCAGATGCAATGTTATTACCAAAACATACAAACAGATTCACCCTGACCCCTTCATCTCTCCAAAATTATGAGGCATTCGTGCTGAGCTCTGAAATGACTGATTCATCTTGTCTTATTCCAAACAATTTTTCTCTGCTGTGTTGGAGCTATAACAATAAAGTGACAAGATGCTCTGGTGAGTGCATACTTTACTCTCCTGTGTTCACACAAACACACACATTGTGGATGAAACTCTCAGCGGCCGTTTCTTACCCCTCCCTTAGCTCCTTGGATACCATCCAGAGTTAAATGTCTATGCTCCGCCCTTCTTGAGGCTCCAGGGCCAGATTGCCCAGGGTTCCAGGGCAGCTGTAGCACTTGCTGTGTGACCCAGGGGCAAATCACTAACCTTTCTGAGTCCCAGTTGCCCCATCTATTTAAGGAAGATGACAGTACTACTCATAGGGCTAAATGAGTTAGTATCTACACGGTGCTGAAACAGTACCTGGCACAAGTGGTGAAAGAACCCATTAACTTAGTCTCATTTCTAGTTTTTCAAAATGGGCTTGAAAAGTAATTTATTAATTGAAAACATTTAAGAAAAAGTACATTTCTCTCTCTTTTTTTTAAATGAATAAGCACCAGTTATTACTAATGGTGGCAATGAAATGGTCAGTGTTTCCTTGTCCACCTCTAAAGTTTGGTGTCGTCTCCAGGAAAATCAGACTTAAGGACTTATTCCTCTTAGGTCTCTTTTTAAACTTCCTTACAATAGTCCTTGTCATGTTCAGCCTCTCCATCAATCCTCCATTTTTAGGAAAAGTAAAGAGTGTGCGTGTGTGTGTGTGTGTGTGTGTGTGTGTGTGTGTAAGGGTACATGTGTGTTGTGTGTGCATGTCTGTACTGCACACACGAGTGTGTGTGTGTGTACTGTATATATGCATGTGTATATGCACATGCACAATTCGCAGGACTAGGTAGACGGAGAGCAGCTGTTCTTTTAATGGGAGCCCCTACCCCAACTTTCCTTCCTTCTCTGGCCCTGGCTTCTATCCCCTCCTCCCCGATTTCCATCAGGCAATCTGGGCAGCTCTCACTACGGCAACAGTTACCTATTGGTGTTCTCCAGCACCTCCACCTTCTTCCGAAGCTCCAAATTCTCAGTTGAACAAGACTCCACTCTAAGGAGGAGAGAGAAAAAGGAAATCCACTGTTATCACTAGGGCACACAGTCAGCCGGAGGCTTGTGTGGAGGTGGATGGGATCTGGGAAGGGAGGGGGGGAGTAGTTGGCCCACCTGAGTTGGGAAGGAGATGAGGAGATAGAAAAAAGGGGGTGTTGAGTAACAAGGGCGTCAATGCTGGAAGGCTTATGGGGTGGTACATCACACGAGCTCTTTGTTGCAGGCCCGTCCTCTCCTCTCTTCCCTGCTGTGCTCATACTTCTCCCTGGCCTGCGCCTGCTGGCTGTACTCCTTACCACAAACACTGATCCAGAGCCATAGGGTTGGGCAGGGGCACAGGGAAGACATGAGCCCAGGACCAGGATGCTGGGTCCTGGAATCTGCAGGCTCAGAAGAGACTGTATAGAGATCTTCGAGGCACTGCCCTGTGTCTGGATGTCTAACGACAAACAACAGAATGAAATGGAGCTACTTAACCCTAAATCAGGTGATAGACACCATAACTTTCAATAGAACTTTTAGAACCAGCCAGGGTCTGCCAACCACTGCTTTCCCCAGACAATGGCAAGACTCGTTTCTCATCCAGGGCTTCTTCATTATCCAGATATCAGCTGTTCGGCTGGAGAACTATTTTCTGGGGCTAATAAGAACTGCACCCAGGCTTGGTGACACACACCTGTAATCCCAGCACTCTGGGAGGCTGAGGCAGGAGTCTTTCAAGCTCAACCCCAGCCTGGGCCACTTAGAAACTTAGCAAGACCCCAACTCAAAATAAAGAAATGTTTTAAGGGTGCTGAGGATGTAGCTCAGTGTGAAAGCCTTGGGTTCAATCCCCAGTAGCAGAAAAACAAGTTTAATTTGTACTTTTCTAATGGCCCTCTATCATCTTCAGAACAATAAAGCACGCATTCACAGTTTTGCAAAAAGTCACCCACTCACCTGGACATGAATTATGGTGGTCAGAAAATGAATGGAACCTCACTCGCTTTTACATTTGCTTTCTCTAGCCCCAGGTAGTGTGGGCAATGGGAGCCTGTGAAACACAACTGCCGCTTTGAGCTGAAATAGTGTGTCTCCTCTGAGGAGTTCCAGGGACATTCACAGTGTCAATTTTTGTCCTCGGGTGAAAGGGTGCCCCCATTCGCTCAGGACCCTTGGCTTGAGGGTAGTTTTCACTTCTTGCCGTGGTTAGACCGTCCCTCCCCAAATAACCACTAGATGGCAGGCAAGACACAGATAATAAGCTGGGCTTTGAGGGTGGTCAGAAAGAGGCTCTCCGCTCCTCCCAGACACAGCCCACCCAGTCTCTCTGTGAATATTGCCCCGCCCACATAGTCTCAGACGCTTACTTTTTCTCCAAGCTGTCCATGTACTCTTTCTTCTTTCTCCTACTTTCCTGTGCAGAAATCTGAGAAGAAACGGTGGGGGAAAGGATGAGTTTGTGACCTGGGAGTGAAAGACAGGCATCAGAGCAAAAGACAGGTGCTCACTTTGGCGACCACCTTCCACCTGCTTGACCTGCTGGCTCATCTCCTGGCCACCTCTGTCACTGCTGGTCTGAGCAGCCTCTGCTGTCACCAATCTGCCACCAGCCTGGGCCCCCAGAAAGGCCACTGGCCTCTCAGGAGCCCAAACAAACTTGTAAGGCCCAAACCACTGATAATGCCTCAGAAGCAATGCCAACGCTCTGGACCTTGGTTAGCTCAACTATGATATTAAATAAAGCAACTGGGCTTGGACATGTAGAAACTCCAGGCCGGTTCTACACACAGATGAAGAGGAGTTACTGTTTCTCCAGCTCTGCCTACTCCGCCACCTCCCTCCTGCTCTGCCTCTGCCAGCCCTGGTTAACTTCAGAGGGCAACTGCTGAGCTCAGATAGACACCATAGGACTGCACAGTTATTTGTAATCAAAAATGTCTAGCAAGAAAAAAATAGATGTGTGTGTGTGTGTGTATGTGTGTACTAGAGGGAAAATATTGTGGACATCAGAAAAGTGAAATCTAAAAGGTTGAGACTTTAAAAAATAAATGTGAGTAAAGGTTCTAATACCTTCTCCTGCCCTGCATAGGTCACTGGGCAGCAAGGGGAATGCACGCTGAGCTGGGAGTGCCGTGCACAGAGCTTTGGACAGGGCTACAGAAGACTGGGGTGGGGGGTTCAGGGTGTCCCTCTTCTGGCCATGGGAAGGGAAGGACCGAGCCTGGTCCCCATCTCGGGACAGGGTAGCGCTGGTCCTTAGGAAGGGAGGGAGGACCTTTGGCTCAAATCTGCTGTCTCTGCCCACAGGAGTGCCCAGATTTGAGGGGCTCACCTTGTTCTTGATTTTCCTCCGGATTTTCTTCAGGGCCTTCTCCTCTGATTTTGTTAGGGGCAACTTGGTGGGGATGGGATAGCCCTCAGCAATCAAGGTCCTCTTCTCCTCCTCTGTCAGGACCAGCGGGCCTGATCCCTGTAGTTTCTGTGCAGACCAAGGAGCAGAGAAGGGTCAGAGGAGAAGGGCAGAGTGTGCCAATGGGATGAGAGGCCCCGCCATAATGTCTTACAGTCTGTGCAAGACAAGGACTCCTATGTGCTCTGCATGAAGAATGGCTGCTCTGGAGTGGAAATAAAGATGGAGAAGAAACCCTCATATGAGTGCTTTAACCCAAGGATTGTAATTCCAGGGGAATGATACATGGCCTCTACTCATTATTTCCCATGAAGCACCCTTCTACCTAACTCATCAAAAGTAAAAGTATAGGATTCATCTCTCATATCCCTGGAGATTTCCTGACCTTGGAGGGAAGAAGGGTCCACTTGGAGCTCGGCTCTGTGCAAGAGTTTTGTGGTTCTCCTTGCGGAAATGCACTTTTGTAATGTGGTCTTTACATACCAGGTTGCCCCCAGCTCCACTTAGAGCTATGGCATCTGAGTCCTGGAGATGTACAGGCCCTGTCTGTGGGCACCTCTGGCTGTCCATCCAGGATCAAGAGCACTGGAGCGCATCTCGCTCAGCCCAGAGTAGAAGGATGTGTTTATATCCGCCATAGACACCCGCCTGCTACTGAGTACCATCTCCATGTCCTACCCCATGGAGGACCCAAAATTAACCCCGTCTCTTAGGTAGCTGGTGACTGAGACTATGAGACTGAGTTGATACTCATGGAAGAATCAGAGTCACTGAGTGCTTAGCTGTAATATTAACCAAAGGTGTGTTAAAACGTGCAGAAAGAGAATAGGACAAGAGACTGAGTTTAGAGCTTCCAAGTCCTCCTTCATCTCTCACATACAGAAGGATTCTAGTTTCAAAAAACGAAAAGGGGGGATCATTAACATTTTATCTTTCTTAGGAGTGAGTTGGTTTCTATATAGTCTTTAAAAACTTGTAGTCAATTTACAACATCATGATTAGCAAATTTAAATAAAGTACAATTTTTATAATATACCCAGTTTGAGCATTTTGTTACAGCAACACAAAACAGACTAAGACACTTATTACACAGAAATTTCATTAAACAGTCAAACTCGAGCCCACATAGTGATACACGCCTACTCTCAGCACTACGGAGGCTGAGTTCGAAAGTTCAAGCCCAGCCTGAGCAACTCAGTAGCTTAGAGAGACTCAAAATAAACAGGGCTGGGGATGCAGCTCAGTGTGATGGCCCTAGGTTCAATCCCCAATATCGCACCCCCCAAAATTAAATAAGATATAAGAGAGAGAGGCAGGTTCATTCTACTGAGAAGGACCCGGAAATACTTACATGTGGAGCTGTAAGGAGAGGAGAGCTGGACAGGGCAGAGGGGCCCCGGGGCACAGCTCTGGCAGGACTGTGGGCCTGAGGCAGGCCAAAGGGGTGCAGGCGCGGGTTGGGGCTCAGGCTGCCCTCGGAGTCACTGCTGTGGCTGCTGGGAGGGGTGGGCGGTAAGTGCAGGTGGTCTCCGGAGGCTGAAGAACAGAAAGCCCGTCTCATTCATGTCAGAGCAGCAGCAGAGCCGGCCTCGGGGAGGGGTGAACCTGCCCTGTGTACCACCAGGGGACTGGGGACAACTGGACAGAGCCGACCCCAAAAGATGGCCAAGGTGTGTTGCTCTGGGAGGTGGGGTGGAGAAGAGGTGTATACAGCAGCCCTCCTTTTGTGTGGAAAAGGAGAGAAGTACTTGCTCGCTTGTCCTGGCAGAAATACTGGAAGTATACACCAGGCACTAATAAGGGGGTGACCCGGGATAGGCAGGGAGAAACTCGAGGGACTTTGACAGAGTATTGCCAAGTTTCACTGCATTCTTTTTAGATGCAGTTTGGTTTGTAAATGATACGAATGCATTATGCACTTGAAAAGAAAATCTTTTTAAGACACAGCAAAACCTGGGAGTCCTCACAGGGCGCTTAGAGAAAAGCGTGATTGTTTCTGGAGGAATGTGCCTGGTTGGGCCCACAGGCAAGAAGCCAGGCATTCTTCATTCAGAAAACATGAAATACACCTTTAGATGGACGAGCAGGCACGGGAAAAATAAACGGGGGTGCAGGGCACCGGCTAGGCCCAGGCCTTTCCTCAGGGGTACAGCGCACTCTGCCAGGGCCCAGGCTCTGGGTGACAGGCAGGCAGTCCAGGGGTGCAGGGAAGCACTCCTAGGTTCCCTCCCTCTTTTTCTGGACAGTGGATATTTCTGTCACACCAGCCCCTGTTGCTGAGCCAGGGGCGATAACCTTTGCGGGGCCCTCACCCCAAGTCCCTTTGGGCCCCAGGACAATGAAGCCTTCAGTGTAGCAGTGCGGAGCTGGGCGCGATGCCTGGCTGCATACACACGCTCGGCCCACCTGGCAGAGGATTGTTCGGCCAGGGTGACACCCAGGCATGTCCTCTCCTCGTCCCTTCTTCAGACAGAGGCTGCCCAAGGTGCTACTTGTGATGGGAGTCACAACCACTGACCCAAGACAAGTGGCCCCACCCTTAGCTGCCCCAGGGATGACAAGCAGCAAGCAGGTGGCTCGCCATCTTACTGAAGGACCTGAATATCCAGGGTCACAGCAATGAGATATTCCTCAGCCATCTTCCAGGATATTTCTCATTCTCTCTCTCTCTCTCTCTCCCCAACATCCGACTGTTTTCTAAGTGCTTCTTTTTTCTCTTTTTCTCTGCCAAAGTGTTGTCAAAGAACTCCCTGGCCATTTCAGTGCCTGTAGGCACTCTTAAAGCTAAAAAATATTCTAGAACAATCCTGTATACTCTATTCCCAGCACTCTTGCCAACACTGCTAGCAGCTAAGGAGGTTAAGTGTGTACCTTAATATGTATGGACTTGGCTAGCAAGGAGGAGGCTTACAAGTGTTAAGCAAGGTATCCCCGATGCCATATAGACATAGGCAATGTATGACAAAAAAATAAAAGCAGTCGGGCATGGTGGCACACACCTGTAATGCAAGCACTCTGGGAAGCTGAGGCAGGAGGATTGCAAGCTCAAGCCTAGACTGGCAATTTAAGGAGTTAGCAAGAACTGGTCTCAAAAAAATTTTTGAAAAGGGCTCGGGGAGGTGGCTGAGTGTGAAGGCCCTGTGTTCAACAATCAGTGCTGTTAAAAAAAAACAAAAAAAAGAAGAAGCAGGGAGCTAACTACTCATCAGGGGTACCAGCTGCCAGCCATACTGTCCTGTTACATTTCCAAAAACTAGTAAAAGCACCTAGTGCTCCCATGCCTCTCGCTTGGGAAGGGCCAAGTCATTCTGATACTTTTCTCTGTTCCAAGCTGGGGCTTCCCCACAAAAGACAGGAAGAGCGAGAGTAAAGTGAACTTGAATCTCACCTTTCCCGCCCATGGAGAGCTTGCTGATCTGGCCGCAGGTGCCTGGGTGTCAGATGACTAAATATCATCTGAAATGCTGCTCTTGGGTTACTGAAAGAGCCAGAACGAGCCACTTTGCCTAGAAACTCTGATGTGTGCAAGGATATTGAATTTCCTTATCTCTCTATCCAGAGCAATGAGGAAGGACTGCTATTTACTTGATTCTCAAAGCATTTCTCCTCCAGTGACCCTGCATTCCGAAGCCACTGTGGGATCTATTGTTATAGTTATGACACCTTCTGAAGCACACTGCAACATAAATTAAAAGAGCGCCATGCATTCGATAGCAATACCCAGAGCCATAAAAATGAAAGGAATTACTTAAAAGTGGCTCAAAGGCTCAAAGGCTCAAAGCCACAATGTATACCATTCAATGCAAAGAAATAATACCTCAATATAGACTCTAGTCAATATTATTAATTTTTAAAGATATAATCCTTTTTTACTGATTGTAAACGTCAATAAAAGTCCAACCCTAATGGAATGGTCACAAATCAAATCTTTAGTTAGTTCCTAAGGGACCAAATGTGGCTTATACTTCCATGAGAACCACTCATACATAACACCCACATATTTATATATTGTACTATATCCTCTTCTGTAACAATCGCATATGCCAATTTCTTATTTGTTGGCCATACAATGAACTGTACTTCTAAACATGTATTGTAAGTGTAACCTGGGTGGGCACAGTGGCACATGCCTGTAATCCTCACTACACAACAGGCTGAGGCAGGAGGATTGCAAATTCAAGGCCAGCCTGAGTAACTTAGTGAGACTTTGTCTCAAAATACGGAAAAAAAAATTAAAATAAAAAGTCCAGGTTTGCAACCAACTCAGTGGTGAAGTATTTGCCTAGCATGCATGAGTCCCTGGGTTCTATCCCCAGCACTACACACACACAAAAAAAGACATGCATAAAAGGGAGGCGGTGGCATGGACAAAGGCACAGGGCTGAAAAGAACAGGATCTGTGCAGATGCCTCTGTATTCCCAGGACTCCAAGAGGCTCAGGGGCTGTGTGCTGGACCCTAACTGTGGGCTTCGGGGGGAGAACAAAGGTGGGAAGAAGGTGAAAAGGATGTACAGAAAGAGCAAAGTCAAATGACTTCGAGTCTGTCATCATTTAGTCGTAAACAGATGGCAAGAAACCAAAGAGAGGCCATGAACAATTCTGAAGAGGAAGGAGGCTCCTTTCAGCTGTCGTCACCCAGTATCAGCATTTAAAACACTGCCAGGCAGATAAAGTACGAATTCACTTTGCAGAGGTTTTCACTAAGGAAGTGTCACTGCATGTTGCATAGTATTTGTGCGGTTCACACAAGGAGGGCATAAGGACAGTAGGTGTCGTCACCCGTACCCACTTCATAGCCATCTAGAAAGGGCTTGAAAAGTCACGCTGGATAGGAACAAAAGTGTGGTAACACTTAGCTGGGAATTATGTGTGCCTAAGGGAAATAATCTATAGATTTTAAAATGTGTGTATTTGGAACCAAGATTTCTTTAAGAACAGAGCTATTCCACAAAGCAAGCTACACCTGTGGACTCAGTTAATCAAATGCTCTTGCCCTTGACCCCTTCTCTGCAGACCAAGTGACCACACAGGTAAAGGAAGGACAGCTGGCCAAGTGGACACACCTTCTTTAGAAGAGAAGTTCAGGAACTGATCCACTTCGTGAGGCTCCAGCTTAATCTTCGGAATAATCGTCTGGCATGAGGAGTCGACCTGCAGGAAGAATTTCAAACATGGTATTTAAAGATAAGAAAGCTGTTTGTCCTCAGAGTCTGCCTCCAAGGCCAGCCCCTCTCTGGAGCTCAGGGGGATGTGGGTGCTTCTTTACCAGAGAGTCATTTGAATTCCCAATCTTCTCCAACCAAGTTTGCCATTACAGCTAATGGAGTTCTCTAAACTCTAACCCTGAAAGCTAAGGCTCACTTATCAGTGTTTCTTTCTATTGCTTTTGTGGAAATCTGAAGGCATTTTATCATGAAATAATTCATAAATTTTTAAAAGGTCACAAGGCCTCCAGTTTGTCCTTTGGTTTGTACACCTAGACACATCCCTTCTCTCCAAGATCCCAAATGACCTCTACCCATGAAATTACCAGCAAGGAAAGGAAAAGAGCTGTTCAGCCACACAGTGAGCAAGGCTGTGCATGAGCCTGAGCTTAGTCAGTTACATGCATACTCAAGAAATAGCTGAAGCCCGGGGATTTAGCTCAGTGGCACTGCACCTGCCTCACAACAAGTCCCAGGTCCTGAGTTTGATCCCCGGTACCAAAAAAAAAAGAATCAGCCGAGCTAAAATCTTGGAGAGCAAACAGACCAGGCAGCTCATGAGAAAGGTGTGTGAGGAGGCGGGGCACAGGTCTTCTGTCTATAGCCCCTCATCTACACAGTGAAGAGGCCGTGGTGTGTTCATGCTCTACTTATTCTGTCACCTCTTCCCAAACAGGGAGACAACACATCCTGCTCATAGAAGATTAGACTTCATGGATGTTAATGGTGCCAATGTTTATAAGCTGAGGCTTTGAAAACTAGGACTGGCTTCCAACCTCTATTGGAAGATTTACAAGGATGATTCTGGTTAATTGTCAGACACTGGAAAATATCCAGAGAGAAGACAAAATAGAATTCAATTCTACTTGCTAGAGGCATGGACATGAACAGGGAATAAATTCCTCATTTCTCATACTTTTCATAGGTAACACAACATGAATCAGTAGGTGGAAGATTCCAGAATTGAGCAGTGCCCCAGAAAATTAAATATTGTACAGAAAAGTAGCACCCCCAACAGCCATGGGACTGTGAGGCAGGAACTAGACCAACATCTTATCCACTGCCCTCCCACTGGCTTAAAAATCAGTGCCATGAGGAGCTTTTTACCATGAGTATTTATCAGTGTTTTCAGTTTGCGATAACAATAAAAATGAATTAAGTTTCACTTCTAATTTTTCTGGACAATTCCTTTAAATCTTGTAATATAATCAATGCTGACCCCAAATCAACATATTCATTATATATGCATATATGTAAATAAACATGTATACATATGTATAGATATATTAACAAATATGTATACGTATGTGTGCATATATATATATATATATATATATATATATATAGTTCTGTATAGTTACGTAGAATTGTAGGCCTGCCCTTAAATATGTACCATCACTAGAATAAATGCCTTATTGGAGAATGGAGCTCAGTATCTTTTGACCCAACCTTAATATACGGAAGAAAATGGAATATACCCCAGTATTTGCTTCCAGAGGGGGCTCCTCCTTCTCAAAAGGGGTAGAAACTGTAGTGATGGTCAGGGTGACAGAGGGAACAAGTCCCGGGGGTGGCTCCTCTGTAATCGGCTCTGTCTTGATGGTTGTTGGAGGAAAGTCAGTAGACAAGTACCATTTCTCACTTTCTGCCTCCTCTGTGGAAAGAAGACAAGCACACACATGAGCTTGCTAGAGCATCTGGTGCAAGCAAAATTAATGACCACTGACCTTTCTAAAGAACAAAGCTCCACAAAGAATTACTGAGGGGAGGATACAAGGAAATAAAGCATGTGAGAGGGAGATAAGTGGATGGATCCATGCATACCCATGTTTATAGCAGCACAATTTATAATAGCTAGGTCTTGGAAACAGCCTATATGCCCATTGACAGTTGAATGGATAAAGAAAATGTGGCATTTATACAGAATAGAGTACTATTCTGCACAAGAAAAAGAATAAAGTTGAGACAGTGGTAGCAATGTAAGAGCCCTCACTGGTCTCTGCTTGCATTACATTATGCCAAAGACACTGGGAGGGGGACAGATAGAAGAAAGAAACTTGGCTTCTAGGCAAAGCAAGACAGAGACTAGGTAGTGGGGAAAAAGATGGGAAACAATATTGGCAATGTGTAATGAGTCATGCCTTTTGGTTTTAAAACCAAGTGCGTATGCTATTTATTCAAGAATAAATTTTAAAAAATAGACACTCCCAAAATAAAGACTCAATCAAAAAATGGGCAATTCAAATGAATAAACACAGAAGTGCAGATGGCCATTAAATTCATGAAGCAATGCTCAACATCGCTGGCCAATAGAGAAATGCAGACAAAAACAACAGTGACATTCCATCTTCCTCCAAAAAGAGCAGCTATTACCAAGAAATCAAATTATAACCAAAGCTCTTGAGGCTGTGGAGAAAAATGAACCCTTCTGCACTGCCGGTGGGAGTGTAAACTAGTATTATCACTATGGAGATTCCTCAGAAAACTAAAATTAGAAATTCTGTTCGACCCAGCTATTCCTCATCTAGTTATCTTCCTGAAAGAGTTCAAGTCATCATATTACAATGATATATACATACTCATGTTTATAAGACCACAATTTAAAATACCTAGATCTTGGGAACAGTCTATATGCCCATCAACAGATGAATGGATGAAGAAAATGTGGCATTTATACACAAAAGAGTACTACTCTGCCATAAAGAATAAGGTTGAGACATTCCTAGGTAAGTAGACACATCTTGAGAACATAGTGTTAAGTGAAATAAATCAGACACACAAGCTTAAATTTTACATGGTTTCACTTATATAAGAAACCCAAAATATAAATAAAGAGCAAAATAAAAGATAATAAGAAGTAGAGAGATCTTTTTCAAATGGGAAGGGGAACAAGAAATGGAGGGAGGGAAAAGAGATTTAAATAGGGAGAATTACAGAAAAAAAATGGACATAGGGCTTTTGTAAATGGGAAGGGAAACAGGAGTTGGAGGGAGCAGGGAGGGCTGGGACAGGTAGGGGAGAAAAAATTCAGATGTGTTTTGGACATGTACAATCTCCCCACAATAAATGTAATCGTTGTGTACTGCAAAACATGTCCTAACAAAAAACAAAAAGAAAAACATCAAATGCAATAAACAGCAGAATTTGAAAAGTATTTAATCAAAATTTAAAAAAAGAAAGAAAGAAAGAAAGAAAGAAAGAAAGAAAGAAAGAAAGAAAGAAAAAAGAGGCAAATGGTTGGCACCCAGGATCCCAGGACTGCGGCAGGGACAATTTCCTTTTCTTCTTCCACTCCCTAGTTTTGCCCTCTTGTTTTCTCTGTGATCCCACTTTATGCCTCAATCCGAACTACACTTCTAGACACTTTGTTCAGCTTTTGGGAATCTTCAGAGTTTGTAAAAACATCTACCCTCTGCCGAAAGGGAGGAACTACACCTCCAGGGCAGAGGGTGTGATCTTGGCAACTCTGGGTCTTGCCTTGTTACCAGGCCATCATGATTATCACTAGGACTGGGGACAGACAGTAGCCAAGCAGCCACACGGACCCCACAGAAAACCTCCATCACCGAGCGTATGTCCTCCTGGAAGTTCATGGACTCCAGATTACTTCTGAGCTAGCACCTCAGCACAGCCCTGGCAAAGCAGGGAGGCACAGGAAAGGAAAGCCAAGCAGCCTGGAAATAGACACAGAGCAAGAAAACACAAGCCAGTGGTTCCCAAAATCCACACCCCTAGCCTGATACCAATTTTAGTAAAAATGAAGCATAAATAACGCAGAGAAGTTCCTCTCCTTTATAAAAATGTTTTAAACACACACCACACAGGCTTAGTGACACATTATTGTTCAAGGAAGCAAATCTGTTGACACTGTGAACCCACACTCAAGAACCTGACTCCAGTTTTCTTATGAAAACCATTCAGAACAGCTAGGTGGTGAAGGAACAGTGAAAACAGGAGCTAAAGGCTAAAGTTAACAACTACTAAAACTGCATTTTAGAAGCAGCTTCCTTCAAGCACAGAAGCAGGTTCACATGCATGATGTGATGCTGTGTTTAGAGTGAGTTCTATAGGCTGCCAAGCACTGTGGTGGATGGGGGGATTTCCGTCACTAGTCGGGTGTGGGTGACATCCTAGCAAAGGAGGGGGTGTCAGGGAACAAAGGGCCTTTTGACATCAGCCAGAGGAGGGGGGCCACACTGTACTTGCACAAAATTCTGCTGGCCCAGAAGGCAGCCTCAACTCAGCTTAGAGGGGCAACTGGACCATGGACCAAAGGCAGACAAAGGCCTCTCCCAAAAAGAGATCAGGACCTAGAAGGCTGTCTGCTCCCAGGGAGACGTGCTTGGGGCAGACCAGAGAGTTGGCGAGTAGGAGAGGTGGAGCGCGAAGGCAAAGCTCACACTGTCTCCACGCACCACCAAGACATGCATGCCTCTGCTTCCTGAAATCAGCACTCCAAGTCCATCCAAACTGAGCAATATTTACCTCAGGCAGAGGCTGGCAGAGAGACAGTAAGATGCAGTATGGCCTCAGTGCATACTGAGATCCAAAGGAAGGGAACATCCCTGAGAAAAGTCCCCTGCAATTACCAAGAAATTATGAGAAGGCCCCCTAATCTGAAGGAGTAATTAAGGTGACTGAGATCCAATTTAATCCACAAGGCAAACAAAAGAAAAGGCAAAAACTAAATGTGAAATGTAAATACGAAGTCATCAGACAAAATGAAGATGGGCAACGGAGTCAGTTTTTCCATGCTTGTGAACCATTCTCAAAGCACACACACACTCATAAAGCAGGTCAGGACTTTATAGGTTCTTAACGGTCAGTGCTCTGTAACCACTGCTCTCTCAGGGCACAGAGGCAGTAGAGCACACACTGATACCTGACCTGCAAAAGGAAAGGTCTTACAAAGACAATGGAGCCTTCCATGTAAGAGGTCTTAGGAAGCTGCCTCCCCTTCCCTGAGGTTTTTTGAGGAAAACATGTACCACTCCAACTGGCAATGTAGTCCTCTATCATGAAAGATGTTTCAGAGTTAGAAAGAGGTGTAAGGCTATCAAATAACCTCGAAGAATCACTTTAGAGTAGAAACGGACATGCAAGCCCCAATCACACTGAAATTAGCAGTGGAACCCAGATGCCTGCATGTCTGCCAATATCCATTCAGGAAGCAACTCGACATGTGGGTAAAGATCTATGCATAAATATGCTATGTCATTATTTTGAATCACAAAGCCCTGGAAATAACCAAAATATTAAATAACAAGGAAAAGGTTAAATCAATTATGGTGCATCTGTGTAATGGAATATTTACCTAGACTTTTATGTTACATTTGTAAGGCCTTTGCAGTAATAAAGGAAAGGTTTATAATAAGAAGAAATAATAATAAGGAAAATAATAAGGAAAAATCTGAGAATAATATACCATTAATGAATATAGTGTAAAAGAGATATATGCCAAAACAGTAAACACACATCTGGACAATCATTCAGAACTGTGTCTTTTTTTCTTATTCTTCATATTTTATGGTATTTACAGACAAACTGTCTGTATTAGGGAACTGTTGTCCCTGGGTGAGCACCCATGCACACAGGCTGCTTCTGCCTCCACTACTTTATGCTGTAGGGTGGCTTTTATTGGATAGAAACTCAAATGGCCCAAGGGGTACAGCTAGAGGTTCTTGATTCAACAAGTCAATGCCTCCTAATACACGCAGATAAGCTTCATTACTGCTTCAGGTCTTCACTCTCCCTCCATCTGTGTCTTTTTCCAAGGAATCTTTTAGTAACCCCCTGTTGTCCACATAACTTAGTTTATCCAATGGCATGTCAGCTTCTTAACACAAGTAGCTTCTTGAGATGTGCCTGTTAAGAGTGGGCTTACGTTCCTGTAGTTTTATCATCACTATGAGAAGGATACACCACAATCATCTACTGATCTCAAGAGCACGATGACAGGCATATTGGTCAAAGCCACCCTCAGATGAGCTTGGTCATTAACAGCCAACAATCCGCTGGCTTTGACGACATAAGTGAATTTAGTAGAGTCACCCTGCCAACGTCCACATAAACCAATCAAATCCTAGCCAGGCACAGACAAGTGAGCTATAATAACAAAAAGATTTTTATTTAAAGTCATGAAGTTTGACATGGTTTGTTATGTATCAACACTTCTAGCTAATACAATGTGGCTGAATGTATGAATTAGAAATTAAATCTACTACATCTGAATCTATTGCAACTAGGAACTGTGTTGGTTTCCAAAATAATTCTCTTAAAGATCAATGGTGATGTTAATAAATATTCTTTAGATAGGCTGTTAGACTTACCAGTTACATCATAAAATAAATGATTGCAATTTAAGAAAGTCAGCCAGTAAGTAGTTTGGTGAGAACAACATTCCAGTGGTAGCTGAAACTAGAGAAAAGTGCTTTCATTTGGAACTACTGGGTGTTGTTTTGTACAAGTAAATATCAAATTAGAGCAAACAAAATGACAAATGTACTCTATGAGTTAGGGGGATAACAATGAACGAAGAAGAGGAGTAAGTATTGCAACTTTTCCACATTATTTTACACTTATAGTTTAATTTTATTGGCAAAATGAGCAGTAGGGGCACCAAAGGTTTAGAATTAGAATTATCCTTGGGCATTT